TTATGGCAAAACATGTCAGTTCCACGTCATTGATCATTTATTTATTTATTCTTTTTTGTACACCACAATACAGAAACATCAATATAGTTAAAACTAATTAAAGTATGTACAATAGGCGGTCTTATCACTGAAAGTGATTTCTTCCAGACAACCTTTGCGTAGAGGAATGATGCAAACAAAAGTTACAAATAGAGGGGGGGCATACAAAATAATAATAAAAAAAAAAATACAATAATACATACAAATAAAAGTAAGTGAAAGTTATATATAAAATATCATAATATATAAAATATCATGATCATCTTATGTACCACGTTTTTAAGCTAATAAATTTTCTATCTATATATCTATCTTCTTTTGAACTTGATATCTTTTTAAATTATTAACATAATTTTGTATTGCAAGAAGACACAGCGCGGACGCTGTAATTATTTCGACGTCCGCCATAGTCGAAAGCCGAAAGCGATGTGAGTGGTAGGGCAGAGTGTGAACACACACTTACCGCGATCCTGCTACGGCAGTATTTAGGGAAGTATTGCCGGCAGCGCGAGGAGCAGTGGCAGGAGCTGAATGTAAATGGGGCTTTAGTGATGCTAAGTGGAACCATCGTGTTTTTTAAACTCATTTTCAGAAAGGTTCATGAAGACCTAGATGACTGTGATGATATCGTCTAGCTGATGATGGAAGCCGAAGGTGGGTTTAAAATATCTCAGTGACGTTACTTCATAGAATTATTGTGCTTGGACTCATTTGAAAAGTACTCATAAAGACCTAGATGACTGTGATGATTTCACCTTCCTTATGGTGGAATCCGAAGGAAAGTTTAGGATCTTAGTGACGGCACTCATAGAACCACAATCTTTGGACTCATGTGAAAGGGCTCATAAATACCCAGGTAACTGTAATAATCTCACATTCCTGATGGTGGACTCAATATCTGGGTAAAGGATCTCAGTTAATCCACTACGTAGAACCATCGTTTTTAGACTCATTCAAATACCTAGCTGCCTGTGATGATAGCACCTACCTATATGACGATGGTGGACTCTGAAGGCGAGCATAGGATCTCAGTGACAGCACTAGATAGGATCATCGTGTTTGACCTCATTTGAAAGGGCTCATGGAGACCTAGGTGACAGTTATGATCTCGCCTTTCTGATGGTGCGATTTGAAGGTGTGTATAAGATACCAGTGCTGGCACTATTTTTATATTTTAATTATTTTTAAATTTATAGGAGTCACGCAATTTTATCTGCGACACTTCTTAACTAAAAATTAAAATTTATGCCCCCCACAAAGGGGGGAGAAAACAAACAAGAAAAATAAAGAAAACTAAACTAAATATAGTGTATCTATATGTGTTATCTAACTTAATACAATACGAAATAATTATAATGTTATAAAACTCAACATATTTAATTATCAAACAAATCAAATAATTATTTTATTAATTCCAGACTTGTCTATTTTATCATTTTTGTACAATCATATGCTGGGGCCACATTAACAAGAAATTCCGTTAATTATCGCGTTGATCGACGTTAAATGTAGGTATGGCCACGACTTAACGCGTGACTTTGAAAATGACATTAACAATGCCGTTTGCCGATAACTCGAGTAGCGGTACATTAAAAAGATTAACGCACGAAATAACGCGTTGAAGCAGCCACACTACGTTTGTTTCACTGTGCGTGTGCACGATGAGCACAACAGGGTCGCACGTACGGCTATGATGGAGGATAATAATAAAAAAAGTTATTACGTTTCTTGAGATTCTGCAAACAGAGCCATGTTTGTGGGATCCGAGTCTCAAAAGTTTTAAGAATCGTACATCGCAAAATTATGCCTTGCAACGAATTATCCAATTATTATCTTTTAAAACAACTATCGAAGAATTAGAAGGACGAAAGAAAGTCTAATGGGTTTTTATAGAACTATTTTAGCAAATATAAAAAGTCTTCAAGAAACCTTAACGCCGTTCAATGGCATTGACATTTAATGACGTTAAGCGTTCAAGTGTAGCCACTCACTTTATCGCGTTAAATTTAAAGCAATAATTGCTGCGTTTATGGGCATTGACGTTTCCCGTTAGTGTAGCACCAGCCTTAGCGCGTTCGCTCGATGTAACAGCCATGACGATGGTGGCGCGGTGGGATAAGCGTTGAAATATGAATATCGACAGTCGATATTTTTTCAATAAAAAGTAATTTTTTTTTCGTAAATCATTTAATCTAGTACTACTTAATCTACTGTCCTTTATTTTATGCTTTTAACTTTTCCCCAGTTTAATTATTTTCTTATTATCTTAAAAAGAAATATAATTTTGTATAGTATACAACATGTAACATAATTAACGCACTTTGAGAAAGTAGTTTGTTCAGAATCGTTTACTGAATCGATTTCTATCATTTTTAATATAGGTAATTTTTTATCCCAAAAATAATTAAAACTACGTAAATTACAGTCACACTAAATCTGCACAGTCAAAACAAACTGAAATGGACCGTAACTTAAGGCAATAAGACTTTTAATTTTTTTGTAGATATTATTATAATTCTCTCATTCATTAAAAATAAAGCAAAATGAACTTTATTTCAAGCCGTTAAAGTCTTTGCATTCGTGGATTTGTACTGTGACCACAACATTCTTCCGGAATTAGTATAACTAATTTGATAAATAATTAGTGCATAAAAATGTTTAACTAAAAATTCAGTGTATATATTATGGTTATAACATAATATACTAATTGGGGTGTCTGAGGGTGTGCGTTAATTACGTTACATATTGTATATCTCTGTGGTATTAAAATTACTATAACCTGCGAAACTTATAACTACTTTACTGTGTGTTTTGGCGGGAACTTGACCGTCGACGGATTTTTGCTTCTTTTTATCGTTTAAATAATAGTTTGAAGTAGATTTTAATACGTAAAACTGATTTGATTATTTGTATTAAGTGTCTGCGCATATGAACTAATAGAGAAAACGACGAAACAAGTACTTCGATGTCAATATAAACCTCAAGTTATTTTGTTTGGTTAGGCGTCTTAACTTGAGTTTCTGTCGTCATCGACTGTTTACTTTACTCCCTTTCTATCAGAAATAGCTGTTAAATATTTGATTTCTTCAGCTACATCTGTAGAACCTGTGCTTTTAAACATATTAAACAGCTGAACATATAAAACAGCGAGTATTTTTTAAAACTCTTGTGGAAAAATATTGATACACATAATCGTCTTATTTAATTTAAGCAATAATTAATATGAACTATAATCTAACATTTTCATACATTTATAATTTAATTTGCTTAATAAATATAATAAATGAACTAAACTAAATGACTTACGATATATCTTTCGATATATAAAACTCCACTATTAATATATTTATAATTATCGTTATATCAAAAACACGAATATTATATTAAAAAATTATCACAGTCCTATTTTGAACTGATCAGTTGGAATGATCAGTTGAACTGAACGTGTGTGTGGAAATTTCTTTGGCTTAAATCCGTTTGAACTGATATCAGTTCAACTGATGCCTTTCACTGACCGTGTGTGGGGTCCATTAAACTGTTAATATTTTTTTTAAATATCTGACTTTCGATATATCAATAATTGTAAATATATCAATATCGGAATTTTATATATAAGTTAATTTATCGATATATCGAAAATCCAATATTTTAAAAAATATCAACAGTCCTAGTTTGAAATGATCGGTTGAACTGACCGTGTGTGGCGACCATAAGTCTATGTAAAAACATATAATTATGGTAAGGATACACGGTGACATGACTGACACTCGACTTTTCACGTGGTAAAGCCATGCTGCATCTATATTAGTAGTACGAATGGATCGGCTCGACCGGGGAAGGACCACGCTCTCACAGAATATCACCGTAAAATAGCAGCTTAACGCTTCTGTGTTTCGTATGGTGAGTGTAGAGAATCGGAGACCCTTTTTACTGGAAAGGAGGCATTCCATCTTAGCCTTCACGGGTGACAACGCATTTGCATTTTGATTCGTAATCGAGGATAGATATAGAAGATGTCTATGCCACAGCAACCACTTACCATCAGGTGAACTGTGTGCTCGTTTGTCATCCTTCTCCTATAAAAAAAAACTCGAGACAAAAATGTTGGCACTGGCATAAAATAAAGCTGATGTCGGTGAAACAACATAATAATATAATACAACTCACGTACACATTTGCACTTCGTACACATTTGTCTAACTAAACTAGTATGACTAATGGGGAAGATGGTACATTATAAAGAATAATGTTTTTAAACACAAGTGCTGCAATAATGATTGCTTTGCAAATGTAGTTGAATTTGTAAATTCCAGTAAAAAAATGTTGTTGTTCAAATAATAATGATCGAATCGTCGGAAGTTTTGTGACTACAATTAGATAGAATTCTTTATGTCTTTTATAACTTACGTTCACACAATGGCCAAACTGTATAAACGCGCGAATATTCCAAGGCTAGAAATGTCGCAAAAAGATTACACATTTCAAATGAATTATTCATAAGCGGTAGAATATTCGTAACTTTCGTTTTTCCGTCTCTACGTCGAACATCCTCTTTAAATTATATTTAGGTAGCCTATTTTTTACTTACATTAAATATAAAACTAAAATAAATTAATGACTGAAACTGATGGAAATGTGAAACTGAAAATACAGAATGACAAAAACATGCATACGAGCAGGCATTCGCATACTAATTTTCTATCGTTTTACTGCCTATGTTCGGACATGTGTGAAACCGAGGTCTAGATGTAGCATAATAGTTGTTGACGTTATAACGTCCGCTACTGGTTGCAGAGGCTGTAGTGTCGTGTAGTCGCAGTGGTTTTATACTCAGCATTCAGTCACTAACAATCCACGCGTGCTGATTGATTTCAAAATGAGCGCGATATAAATATCTTATAATTACCATTAAAATCAGTGATAAAGTTTACCTTAACTGTTATAAAAATATATAAATAAAAATGGCAGTGATTAATATTAAACTTTTTGGTAAGTATTTGGATATATATTTTTTATTCTAATCAATTTATAGTTAATACTTACTGATACATAATTTAGTCAAATTTTTCTTTAATCCTATATTAATATAAAACGAATCCGTTATGTTTAATAACATTCAATATCAATTAAATTCAATTTTGCTTTCATTTTACATTTTACACAATGCTACCCTCGTATTTTTTTAAATTTATTAATTTATACATTTCACTTCAGTCTTTGTTAGAAGCATAAAGTCATTTAAATTTTTTTTTTGATGTTGAAATTTATTTTTTTATTTTTAATAAAATGCAGGGCACAGAGTGAAAACGTCTTTCCACTCAATTGTGTAAGACAAAATATGTCAAAAAAAGCTCGTATGGTAAAACACAATGCTGCGTTAGATTCTACCTTAATTTATAGGGGTGAAAGTTGGATGTGGCAGAAGAAGCATAAGAGTAAAATGAATGCTGCATAAATGCGATCATTAAGTAGTATGTTAGGGTGAATGAAAGAGTAAGAAATTGTGTGATAACAGAAAAGTGTGATTTGCAAAATATTGTGATCAGGATAAAGAAGGAATGCTTAGGTGGACACGTGGAAACAATAGATCTGGAAAGACTGAAAAAGCAAATTTATTCTGCGGAAGTCACTAGCAGACTTAAAGGGATGCCCGAGACGGAAATTTTCTACTAGATTAGCGATTTATTGACGATGGATCAAGAGTACCTACCCTTAGTCGACAAGCATGTAGACGTAGTTAAATGGATGTGTTAGGTAAGTAACGAGACGTAGAGGTATATAAGATCCGCGCCAAGTAGTCTAGTCACTGCCTATCCCTCTGCGAGACGGGTGTGAGAGTATATGTTGTTATTTTATATGTTATATTTTGTACACACCAAAGGCTTCGTCACAGAATAAATAATAGTACTACGTAGCTTAGTTGACAACCTTTGATAAAAATGTATTTACCATCCTAAAATATTAAGGTCAATAGTATCAGATATCGTTTCAGTTTATAAGGTCCACATACAATATGTTGCTGTTACGGGCTGATAACGAGAACTATTTATGTTAAGTAAATTAAGTACTTTCTTAATTTCGAAAAGTAATGAAATCGCGATTTAAATAATCACGCTCATCATACTAACGACAGCTTTTACTTTATGCATAAAAATATCAGTTTACCTAGCTATCGTGTTGTGGTAACTAAAGTATTTCGAACAAATTCAAATAAATTCATTTTTTATGTTTAGCTCCTGTTTGATTCGATCGTATCGAGTTCGGCCGTCGTTGTCCGAGAAGAATTCGGCCGATGACGGATTAGGTGTGTGCGAAGCTTAATTGTGTAACTACGGAACCCTAAAAGCGTAACAAAAACCTACCTGCAAATTAGGTCGAAAAATAAATCTTTTGATTTACAGTTATTAATTTTGTTAATCATTAAAGTTTCCAATAATAAATATGTATATATAAAAACTATTTTCTATATAAATGACCTGTGTTTCATAAATAACCAATGTTTATAATTATCAAAGCTTAAAATTTTACATAAAATCATTTCAAATAGACGTCTCAAATTTCATCTCATCATCAAAAAAATAACATTCGTAAAAAAAATATAATTATTCACACCAGTTTTTCAACTTCGCTAATCAACAAAAACATTAATCTAAAATCTGAGCGTTTCCCTTTCTAGACGCGCAAAAAATCCAGTTTGTACTAATTAGAATAATATAATTTATTAAATTAATGCAGAAATAACTGTTATTATAGTCTCTCTCATTTAAAAATAGTCCTGACTGCAAGATAAAGAAAACTTAAAAACTAAAATGTCGTTAAAACCAGCTTAAAGCCGTCAGACTAGTTCGTATTGGTATTGGGACTAGGTCTCTCAGCCACGCAAAAAGAACTATGACGTTGCATTGAGCTATTAATTTACGCTAGTAATATAGTTCGATGACACGTTCAAACGTAATGGATATTGAATAATTATGTATTGACATTATTTGATCGACGACATTACTTTTTCTTGATATTAATTTATTGCCTTTGGAATTTTGCCGCAAATATTGACCCGGTAGCAAAAAAGCACCTGAACTAGGTGCTTTGATGATGATGCTGCATGAGCAGCCTCGCTGACAGGAGGAACAAGCCCGTTGGTTGGAAGAGCAGCTGTAGCACCGCAGGTGGAACAGGCCCGTCAGTAGGAAGAGCAACAGGAGGAACAGGCCCGTCGTTTGGAAGAGCAGCTCAAACGCGATAAGGAAGAGCAGATGCTCCTCATGAAGGACCATCACGCTACCTTCAGGAAAAAGATAAGGGAGGTGAAGGATAAAGTTGCTGAACATGACAACCGCCTGTCAGAAGCTGAAACCCGAATCGATCAAGTGAACAATCAGGTTGACAACGTGATGGCTGATGTAAAGATAATGCTGGACGACCTCAAACGTGGGGATGGTATTACAGCTCCCGTAGTAGCTGCAACACCTTCGCTACGTGGATTCAAATGCAGCCGTTCGACGGGACTTCTTCCTGGTTGGCCTATAAAATCAAGTTCTAGGCTGTAATGAAGGCGAATGGCTGGAATAAAGTCAGGCCATGACTGCTCTCACACTAGGCCTGCACGACCAGGCCTTAACTGTCCTGGTAGCTATTGGTAAGGAAGGGACTTACGATCAGCTCCTTGAGGCATTAGAAGCGAGATATGGCGACGCTCACATGGAACACGTTTTTCGTGTGCAGCTTAAATAATGCGTGCAACGCAGCTATGAAAACTTGCAGCAGTGGGCCCTTGAGGAGTTTGAAAAAGCATACCGATCTGTACCTGCGCTCATTGAAGGGTGCAGACTTTCAACGACGGCATCCACGACTTCGAAGTCAGAGCTATTATGAGGCTCGTGTAACACAAGACGCTGAAGGACGCCTTGGCCTATGCTCTGGAGGTGGTAGCCGTGCGGCAGGATCATCGTTCCTATCGCGTCAGGGAGGTTGTAATAGCTACAGTTCGCGACCGCAATAAAGGATACAGTCCTAGGTGCTACGGCTGTGAGGAAAGGGGCCATCTTCGATCCAGCTGCCTTAAGCAAACTGTAAAAAGGGAAACTGATCGACCTCGGGAGGGTAGTGTGGCTAAAAGCACCACCTAGCAGCAGTAGGGAAACGAGTAAAAGCCAGGACTACGGGACGGGTGCTGGCTAATGTTAAAAGAGCCCCAAGTATCTCGAACTTACAAACGCATGATGCCTAATCATCAAGGGCAAGATCAACGGAATGCCGTGTAAACTGACCATAGACACTGGAGCCTCTCGTACGGTTGTTAGTTCCCAACTTATAAGTCAATTCCTTGGGGACTCCACATACAACCAAGAACGCATTAGTTTGGTGACACTTATTAGTCGTGCATATTTCTTGACATTCGTCTTCGCGTTATCAAAATTTGTGCGAATATTTTTTTAAATGCGATTATGACACTAGCTTAATATTTTGATGTTAAGTTATTTCAATTTGATGAAATTAATATAAAATAAGACAAAAAGGCAATAGTTTCTAATCAAACTTTCAAAGTTTCTTATCTTATTTTTTTAAATAATTATTACCATTACATTTTTATTTTCACATCCGGTAGGTAGCGCGATGAGTTTTACGCCGACTCCAAATTTATTTCGGGCTTTAAAAATGTAAATATAAAAGGCTAAATATAAATTCAAATGGCCTTCTTCAATTTTTGCCAGTGGTTTTTTCGATTTGGGCTTAGTTTATTTAGCCCATTTTCCCCCGGAATTTTTTGTATTTCATCGACCCAGCAATCCATTGGGTGACCTCTTTATTTTTCTCGCATATCCCACAAATTAAATACCCGTACGGGCAACAGTGAACAGTGTGAAAGGTGCGAGACGTCTTGCGGTACTCCGATTGTAAATCCGCATTTCAATTTTTGAAGTGAAAACTTCTTTAACCGCTCAATCCCCTAGCGGTTGGTAACAATCATATAATAAATAAACCCTACAATTATTCTACTTTTGATACTCTGTACTCGTCTCATTCTTTCAAGATTTAGTTTCCTGGAGGTTTCACTTCTACCGCGTGTGAATTGGACACATGTTTTTACGTTACGTTTTTTTAAATAAAGATTAACGCTAGAATATTTTCCTGTATCATAGAGGCAGTTTACAAACATAAATTGCACAAGGACAAACATCTAGATTCGGAACGAATTTTTGTAAGTCAAACAAATACTGAAATGTGAAATTCGAACCTGCGCCTCTCAGTGCCGCAACTCATGGCTTAGCAGCCACTACACCACGGCGACGTCGCTTTCTATCGTCCTTTCTCACTTTCTCTCCTTATATATAAAATAGTTAATAATTTTTTGGCTATTGGTTATCTCGTAACTTTTTAAATGATGTTACTAATTGAGGTCATATTTACTCAGGATAGGTTTTTGTTTTATCCAGACAATGGTTCATAGCTTTATTAAGATCCGACAGTTGGTACTGTGGTCAAGTTATTAATAAATTTTATATTTACACTGTTAAAAGCCCGAAATAAATTTGGAGTCGGAGTAAAACTCATTGCGCCACCATCACCGTCGAGCACGTGGTAAATTAGCAATTAAAATTGCAATTAACAATTTCATTGGTGCCGGCGGGGATCGAACCCGGTTTGTTCGCGTACTGTGAAACTTACACCGAGCATTAACCATCTAATCTACCACGGCTCATTTATCAATTATAAATTATTTAAAAAAAAGAGATAATAAGGGAACGTTTACAATGAGTTTCATTAGAAACTACTGCTTTCTGTCTTATTTTATAATAATTTCATCGAATTTAAATAACATTGTATCAAAATATTAAGCTTATGACATAATCGTATTTGAAAAATATTCGCACAAATTTTGACAATGCGTGTGCGAATGCGAATGTTAAGAAATATGCATGACTAATGAGTGTATAAATTTACGAAAACTAACATGTTTTATAGCGTTTTTATTAATGAGACCCTGACAA